AAAATTCAGAGCTAAACATAAATAGAAGATCTGTGGACCTGGGTGTGTTGATGAAAAAAAATACACAACCTGTGAGAGTTGTGTACATAATTACACGTTTACATCATTGTCATTGTTGTAGCTGCTTTTATTTTAATGCACTTTCCTTCATTGTCTTATGTTATGAGACATTTCTTCCACAGTAGCCAATAAAGATATTCTGACTTATATCCTGATGATTGCTTTGAATCTCCGAAATGTAACATGGTCTATTCCATGTGTCTGCTGCCATCTAGTGGTCATTTCTGTGACTTTTGGATCATAGAAGTCATTGTAGTTTCTTCCATTCTACCCAACAAAGAGTCCGTGCTGTTCTGTAGAAAAGGTACGTCCCAAGACCTACCACAGCGTTGTATTTGTCCCTAGCCTTACATTCATTTGTAGATAGAAGAATGTGGGATGCCTTTCCTTTCCTCCAAAGAGGTCACACTAAGGCCAAGCCTATTTTAAAAGGTCATGTTACTAATTACTTGTGAAAAGAAAAGGATTTGTGGTTTTCTTTCTGCCAGTGTTAGCAACGAACAGATGTATTATTTAGATGTCATAATAACACAGTGCTCCACACGCTGTAAATTTCAAAGAGAGGTGACATGTTTTTGCATTGATTATGGTCTACATTATTTGCTCTAATTTTTTCAGTGTGAACGCTATAATAATGTTTCTTTTGAGGAGTTTGTTGATTGTTAATTACATTCTTTTTGATTTGGGCACTCTCGCTTCCAGTGTTTGAATCCTAGTTGGAACAGATTCTTTCTGAGTGGAGTTTGCATGTTCTCCCCATGTCTGTGTGGGTTTCCTCTGGTTGCTCCGGTAAACATGCTAAAATCCCCCAGCTCCGGCCCAAGCCGAGCATCAACACTTGGAGATGTGCTCCCTGCGCTGTACGGGGTCAAATACAGAGGACACATTGCCCTGTGAAAATAACTACACTGTACCTTACCTTAAGTGTCGTGTTAATAATTGTGCACACTGATAGAATGTATGACTTCCTGGCCTTTCTTAGAGAATATGAATAAAAACATGAAAAAAACCTTGTGGAAGATATTTCCCACACAAGGTTAGTGGGTGAGGCCTTTTTTTTGTCAAGGATGTTTCCTTTTGTACCTTTCAAACTAGTTTGCTGAGCCAAAATCACCTGGCTTCTGAAACTTGGTCTCACTTCAATTATATTTCAAACACAGAAGAGCAAAAATGTTATAACCTTAATTATTTTCTTTCCTTGAATTTATGTTGAAGAATCACAGGGTCAGCTTTTTCAAACCTGGGGAAAGTTAGGCCTTTCAAAAAAATGTATTGCATGAAAAATGTTTATCTGAGTCTGTAGTTGGAAATAGTTTTCTGTTGGCATTATAATTTACATACATACATGTACATGTATGTATGTGTGTTTGTATGTATGTACATGTGTATATGTATGTACGTACATGTATGTATGTATTTGTGAGCATAATTGCATAGAAAATGTCTGAAAACATTATTATCACAGGTTGTAATCCAATGTAATGAGCACTACCCCTGGAGATCACTCTCGTCTTGCCAGCTCTTTAATTACCAACAGAGTGCTGACATGACGCTCTGCTCCATCACCAAACATCTCCTGTTGCATGATGGGAGTCAGTCACCATGACAGCGACAACACACATGCTATACTCCCCTGAATCACAAAGATCCCATATAGACATGGACTGGATCTGGGTTTGGGGCCTTTGGTTTCATAAAGAGGCCATTACACTGCACTACATGAAAATCTTTCCATGTTCGTTCATACATTGGGGAAATAATGAGGCTAGTTTGCATAACACGCAGCATATCTGCAATGAAAATACATGTAAAGTATGAGAGATGACTAATGCCTGCCAACAGCCCCATAAGCCTTTTATATGGTTAATTAGGTTAATGTAGGTTTATATACTGAATATAAGTACTCATTGTTATTGCATGAGATTAGACAAAAACATTATTCCATGCATAATGACTTTAACATTGTATTTTTACCATGTTTTGCTGTATAAATGGACTCTCTTTGCATGGACGGCCGCGCTCGTTTCCCCCAGTCATTTGAATGTGTGGAAGTGGTATTGCAGAGGGTTGACCACAGGGCGTGATGCTCATTTGTGCCTCGCTGTCTCTTGTCAGGAGAGCTGGAGATGGCCTCGCACTTCACTTATACCTGCTCCTCTTCGCTGATTCTAACTTCTGAAACATTTTGACATCAAACAATATGAGAGTCAATATTTAGTTGGAGAAGCCAGGTTGTAACAGTGTAATCTGAAAAGCTCAAAGAAGGCCGTGTTTGTCTAACTGAGTAAACTTGCAATCCTACAATGCAAATCAGTGCTGACAGCTGGGATGAGGAATGCTTTTGTACACCTATACCTCCTGGAAAAACAAAGGCTCCCCTGCAAATGATACTGCTTTCCATAATAACAATTATTCACACGCACCAGCTTTCATTTCAGAAGATTAAAAATCATTGGTCAACAATAACATTTGCTTTAAAGTACTAATAAAATCTATGTGGTATATGGTAAATGTAGCCTGCCATCCCAAATGTCAAAAGCCAATTATAGGCAACAAGAATTGAGGTTTCTGAGCCTTGTTTAGGAATAAATCTAAAGGTTGGCTGATTTCTGTCGCAACCCAAATTTATTTTGTGATATTTCTGTTTCATGACATGAGTTTTTGGTCTTGTACTCATTGGTTGCAGCCTCTTTGTGTGCGAGAAGTGAGAGTCAGGGGAATCTAATCTAACCAATGTCTGTGAAGAGTGAACTTTGGGAAATTGATTATTTTTCATCACTGAAGATAATGGGAATATTTTTACTTGAGGTGTAACCAAATTTAAATGAGGATCTCGCTTCAGCTCTAAGAAAAATAGAGCTAGAGATAGTTGTAAAGGCAGATACTAAACTAAAGAGCATTCACACATGCACAGCACATCCTGCACATTAAAACACAAACTTGACTTTCAGACACATACAGTATATCAAGAGTGAATCATAAGTATAATGGAGTGAGTTAATTTACAGCACTTCCAACCTGATCTCACGTGTGCAATATAGAACCACACGTGTCACTGTTACTTTACTGGGTCACTTTGTCCAAGAGCCTCAAGCTGCTAATGTACAGATGTGAACATACTGCTGCAAACATGTACAGATGTGAACATACTGCTGCAAACATGTACAGATGTGAACATACTGCTGCAAACATGTACAGATGTGAACATACTGCTGCAAACATGTACAGATGTGAACATACTTCTGCAAAAATGTACAGATGTAAACATACTGCTGCTAAAATGTACATATGTAAACATACAACTGCTAACATGTACAGATGTAAACATACTGCTGCTAAAATGTACATATGTAAACATACAACTACATATTGCTTCCAATAGAATACAAAGTAATTTATACTTACTTCTTGTTATGCCATAGGCAGAGATCATATACTCATTTATTATGTTTAAGATAGAGATTTTGAACTTGTTTCTTTGATGTTAGAGTTAGAGAATTGATTTGGTTTTAATTAGTTATTGTTGATTTAGCTTGTGCAGTGTGCTCCTCATTCCTTCCATCCATTTTCTTCCCCTTAATCCATTTCTGGGTCAGGGGGTTGCACCCAGTCAGAGCTGCATCCAGTACACATAGCACCAGCCCCCCACAGGTGGTGGGTCCACAGGAGCCTTGATCTTTCAGTGGGGGCTTCTTGCCCAAGGGCACAATGACAGAAGTCATCAGTTGGAGTCGTGAAGTAGGGCTTGTGGTGGGTTCGAACCTACGACCTTGAGACTCAAAGGCCAATGCTCTACCGACTGAGCCACTGTCGCCCCTTTCTCCTCATTTCTACTGTTCTGTAACTGGTGATGCAACCCTGAAAGTTCCCCACTGAGGGACAAATAAAAGATCTTATCCTTTTTAACGAAATCTTTAAGCGATGTTTGAACCAAACTAACCCGCTGCACCTGACTTCACCCCTTGTGGATCTGATGTTCTGGGAGTGCGTGGGATGTCAGTATGTTTTGTTAGCCAATAGGTAAAACATACTCCTGGAAAAGTGTCCCTCTATTTTCCATTCACGCTGAGATAAATCAGGACTATAATTTGAACTCCAACAATAAGATAAAACCCAAAATGATGAAAAAGCTTCATCTATATTTCCATGAAATTTTGATTTTCTCTGAATCTCATTTGTGGCTAATTCTTCCTCAGCTGTCAACGGGGAACCAGATTCAAATGTATTTATAAGCACATTTAAAAACAGCCACAGCATACAAGAGGGCTGAACACATGCCACCAATTGTTAATTCTAGAGGAGGATTGTACTTCCCTTCTTTCAATGTGCTGTGATTATTTATTATGTCTTGTGGGCTTTAAATGTTTCTTTTCTTGTTTTGTAAAGCACTTTGAGATACCTTGTATATTGTACTGCACAAATAAACGTGCCTTGCCTTGCAGTCTAGTCATTAGAGGTCAAAACTACAGGGCCTCTACTTCACAGAAAACAGTGAAAATGAAAAATTCCCTTAGTTTTTTTTACAGCCTTTGCAAAGTGACCATTTTTAAAAGTAGCTTTCTGCACAGCGGCGCATGCGCAGAGTGGCGGTGTGAGCAAAGAACAGGAAGCGATCTGTTTAGAGTCGACCCACGGATGATGCCAACTACACCCTTTTACTGATCGTCTTCCCCGCATCTGCCTGCTCCACCACGCTGCAGAGCCCGGGCCAGCTCACAACAACAGCCTTCTGCGGGTGCCCTGGCCTTTCCCCGCACCGCTTTTTACAAATCCACCCGAAATTTGGGAGATTAACCGCGGGTTGGATTCCAGTCAGACGCCCTCCTCTCGCTGCTGCTGCTGAATGCTAACTACTAACTAGCCTTTGCATGTCGCTCTGGCACTTGTAGCTAAAGTTTGGGTTGCTTCGCTTTGAAATCGGGGTCTGAACACGAAATAATATGGGTTGCACGTTGAGTACGGATGACAAGGCGGCTCAGGAGAGGAGCAAGATGATCGACAGAAACCTCCGGGACGATGGGGAGAAGGCAGCCCGGGAGGTGAAGCTTCTGCTGCTCGGTGAGAAACATGGAGGGGCTCGGGCTGGGGAGAGGACGAGGCGAGCCCGCACGTACACTGAATTAACCCTTAAAAAATGTCTCATAATGGCACGTATGTAGTTTTGTCGTTTTTAAATCTCCTGTTGTGTCATTTCCCTTAAATCTGGTGAATACATACGTGCTTCTGCGCCAGAGACTTTTTTTAGGGCGTGATAAGAAACTTGGAAACGCTAGTATTAAGTCATTTCCCCTAAAGTTGTTAGTCACGTGTTTCCTTACCTGTTACTTGTATATGCAACACTTTAATTCCACTGTGATTAATTGTAATGCTGGTCGGGTTAACCAAAGACACTCTTTAAGCTAATTTAGCAATTAGCATTTTAGCTAGCTCCCTTAAGCTAGTCAGGATTAGTCGCTTAAGCCTGCACATCGTTAAATACTGTCTGGGATTTAGCTCTTTAACTAGCAAGCTGAACTGATTAGCATATGCGAGCTTGTCTTTTTGTATAGGATGTTTTTAAATGGATAGATTGATTACTTTTAATTGTTTTTAATAGAAATGCACGTGTACAGTTTCAGTGCATTTTTATTGTCCCCATGGGGAATGTTGCCCTTTGCTTTTGACCTGTCCTTCAATGCCAAATGTTGAGGCAACTTGTTGTGAGCTGTGGCACGTAGCTTTTAGATGTTTTGCTTTACTCAACAAAACCTGGACACTTACCTCATACACACCATCCTTTCACAGTAAAACATAAATATATATCATTTGTCCATAGCTTCATTTTGACTGGATCTCTTGAATGGTCTAAAAGGACTAATGACAAAGCTTTGAAATTACGATTTTAGCCATAGTTAAGCATTTTGACTGGATATCTTGAATGGTATAAAATGTCTCATAGTAAAAATTATTATTTATTATGATTTGGCCATAGTTAAGCAGCCCCACGTTTGATTTGCACTGCTCTAGAGCCAGTGTTTAGGTTCCACATTCACCGTCCACATCAATGTGTGACCAGACAGAGCTACACCCTGCTTGCATCAGTGTATGGATGACCAGTGCTGTCACATTCACTGGCAGCACGTCTCATAGCAACATGTGCCGCTTTGCTGACAGGAATAAACATCTCTGGCAACTATGCACACAACAGGTAGTGCATGCTGAGAAGGAGACTGCCCTTGACTTTTCCCACTCTTATTGTTTCACTTACAAAATCTAGAAACTGACATCTGCCACATGTATTTATGCACGTGTCATTTGAGACGGCTGATTTGAATTTGCATGGTTCCGCAGAATTTTCCTGGACACCTGCAGCACATTTGGGGTCTGTTTGTTGATTTACTGTGAAAGTGCAATCACGTCACGTTTAAGGACATTGTGTATCAATCTGTTTTGTTTAATGGCTTACACAGTGGAGATGCACAGGAAGTCCATACTCATCGTAGGCCTTTTCTCATGGCGTTTACTCTAATGCAATCTCTAAATGACACGCTGCTGTTGATGAACACTTCTGAGTGTGAGAATGACCTCAGATTAAAGCTGCCGAGTACAATCATGTATTTATATTGGATCGCCTCTTCAGTTGAATCATCTCTTTTATGGGTGTCTATTATTGTAAAAGCGCACTAAGGAAAAGTATGGTTGTTTTGGGGAGGTGTGATACTGTTATTGTCGATTGTAAAGCAGGCCTTTTGGAGAACTATGCTCTTAACATATCATTGGACCTTATGTTTGTTTTACTTTTGAATATGTTGTGTGTCTGTGTATCATATGGGACCAGCATAAGTTTTCACCTGGGGGGGAAGTCGGTCCCCGCGGTGAGCGGTTAATTAAAATGTTGTGTACGGAGCTTGCAAAGCGTCTAAGGACTGTTCATTCAATACATTCTGTTATACGCGTTTTCTAATGCCACAAGAAAAAAAACATAAAATTATAACTTGAGATTGAGTTCATCCTAATCCTTTACATGATGCGCAGCAAACTGTTTAGGGATTATAATAACCATCTTGATGTGCGCGGCGTGTACTATCCAGGCATGTATAAACTACGTATAATCTCATTGACTCAAGGCTTTACTTGATTAATCCAATTGCGCTGAGTGCCAGCAGTAGCTAGCCTTAAGTTAGCCATTTAATATACTTGACTATGATACAGCGGCTAACATTAGAATCACACTTTAGCCAACGCAGATATTGGAATAATATTAACTACTAAGAAGAAAAAAATACTATCAAGTAACACTTTGTTGATCCATGTGTGATTAATTTGTCTGATCATCTGTTGTCTCTCTCAGGAGCTGGCGAGTCTGGAAAAAGTACAATTGTTAAACAGATGAAGTAAGTGACTAATGGACAAATATTTTGCAACACTTGGCTTGTGCCTTATTGTTTGTGCAGAGAACAACATGCCCACTGTTCTGTTTTGGCTTCCACTTCTGCCAGTCTTAATAACACAATATATTTTTCTCATCTATGGCACATGTTTAGAATACCTTTTTGATTGTTTTTTGTTATTTTCATCAGTTTTGATTCTTGTATAATGTCAAGTAATAACATTTGTTTGTTAGGATCATCCACGAGGCTGGGTACTCTGAGGAAGAATGTAAGCAGTACAAGGCCGTGGTTTATAGCAACACCATCCAGTCAATTATCGCCATCATCCGAGCGATGGGGCGTCTGAAGATTGACTTTGCCGATCCTGCCAGAGCGGTGAGTTGGAATGAGATATATCCTGTATGGTTTTTGTCTTTTCTCCTGGTGAAGTGAATGACTCACATGGTCTATGGGTCGTTTCCCTTCAAACCTTCCTACGTCGTTTATTGAAAATGAATCAAAACGGCAAATTAGATGGCCCCAATTTGGCAAAGTCTTTTAAAATCCTTTGCAACAATATATTTTGTTTTATTCTTGAATAATTGTAGTTTGTTTTGTAGTCGTCCGTAAAAGCATGCTTAAAGTGCCACTTCATAAACAATTCTTAATCAATTATCAATTGTTAAATTATTAGAAATATTTTTGAAATGACAACCATCTGGGTCACCAAGTGCATAAAACTAGACAAAAATGATAGAAGATGAATGAAAAATGACTTTTTAAAGTACTTTTTAAAGTTTACAAATGTTTGTCATATATTTAACAAAAATTCAGCCCTATGATACCATTACAAGAATTTTAGATTGGTGATCTTCTAGATGTTTGTTCAGTTATCAATTTCCTGTTTGTGCCTTGACAAGAATTGTCTCTAAATGTATGAGAGAAATGTAAATGTCTCCATATCCATGTGATGTGCAGGATTAGAAATATTTCCGCCGCACATTAGGATACATTTGTAATGTCTTTGCTTGGTTTTAGATTGAAAATGCTCTTTTCAGTCCCTGCTCTACATTCCTATTTTAAGGGATATTTAGAAAAACCTTTTAAGAATAATACATTTCCTCATGTTCCCGCTCAAATTTGGATTTAGTGTAAGTTATGTGTATGCAGTGATCTGCTGTGTCTGAACTTGGTTGTAATTTACAGTGATGTTACAGTATAGGGCTCCGGTTCACATGGGGAAAATCCTTCACAAATTTAATAGATGGGATGGAACATAGACTGTATGTTAGGAGGCGACTGACAGAGTGTTTACATCATTTGCCATATGCATAAGAAGCTGATTTGAACAGAAGCCAGCTGGAACCAATTTCCCTATATAGCAAGCTGGAGTTTCCTCCATGAATGAAGGCATCGGATTGATCAATTGTATCTAGATGGCTCATAACAAAATAAAAACACCAGGATCACAGGGAGTGTTAAAAAAGATTATTTTATGATCAAAATTACGAGTGTGACAAACGGTTACTGAGCTACTCTTCAATGTAAGTCAATGCGAGCGAATTGGAGAAAAACTTTGTCCATAAGCACTTCCCTATTGGGCTTCATTGATCTTGTGGATTGTCAGCTCAGCATTGTCATTCTATGTATGGATTTATCTGACCTAGTTTAAGTGAACGTGGCTTAAGTTCATAGTATAGTTTATTTTGGTCTTTTACTATAGTGTAAAAAACATCTGTTATTTGCATTATAATCAGACCAAGCAGTAAAGACGCTGGTTTGCTTTGTTGTGTGCAGGACGATGCGCGGCAGCTCTTTGTGCTGGCCGGCTCTGCTGAGGAGGGCTTCATGACCGGAGAGCTGGCGGGGGTCATCCAGAGACTGTGGAAAGATGGAGGTGTCCAGGCCTGCTTCAGCCGCTCCCGGGAGTACCAGCTCAACGACTCCGCCGCATAGTGAGTAGGACGCACAAGCACTCGTCTGTGCACCCTTCGATCAGGGGGGCCAAAAGATACACACCCACTGGGAAAAAAAACCATAGACCGAACGAATGGTTTTTTCCAGTCATTATTAATTGAGAAAACTGTAAGAGACATGTCCCACATCCAAAACTTACCTGCACCCCTGAACTAGTCGTGTTGATGTGCGATATCAAATATCTATCTATTAAAGATGCAGTACCCGTCTTTGAAACCACAAATAAAATGTAATAAAATCCATGTTAGTAGTTGCTGGCTCAAAACAGCTTGGTTCTATCACTAGTTTTCACATGCATTTATTTTTAGTCCGTCACCACTTTACATCAGTGAAAAGGAAAATACCATCACTCAGCCAATCAGTATGTAAAAGACATGTTGTGATCTGACTTCTGTCGGAACAAACGCATTATTTATGAGAAATGGTAGTCCAGCTTTAATACCAATGCCTCGTCACCAGAATGATTTTTTTTATCATTTCCTTGTCTGAATGCCAGCAGAGATTCTTCTATTCTTTACCTGCCAAATCACTCACAGCAGTGTTGAATGTTCATTTTTAGCTTGGTGTGTAATTGGTTTGTTCTTTCTTGCTTAAAGTTGAGGTACACATCATTTTTTTGTCCCCATAAATATTACATTTTATTAGTCCCAACAGGGTCTTGTAGAAGTCAAATTTTTTTCAACAACTCAGACCACAACTTTCCGTCTTCATTAGAAAACATGTTATCTTTTACATTTGTGAGGCACTATTTGATAAGATAAGATAAACTTTATTGATCTCACAATGGAGAAATTCACATGTCACATTTGGTACAGATAGAATCACTCAGATTGTGCAAAAAGACAGTGTGCAACATCTTAGGGGCGCCATATTTATAACCTTAACCCTTTGGCCTAAGAGCCTTTCGTCTGTCTCAGGCCAATAATACATGTATGGAAAAATTAGTGATTGAGGCAAACTGTGAGAGCAAGCAACTAGTTAGCCTGCATTATACCATACCTCACCTCGTCACCAAGGGTTATTTTAAAATGTAAACATAAATATGCACTTTATAGTCCTCTGCATTTGAGAAAGTGGGCTCCATGTTTGTTGGTTACTAATTATTATTGGGCCACTCTCTTTGAAGAAAGTTGTTGACTCCAAATGCGCCGACCTTATCTCTGAGAGTCTCTGGGAGCTGTTGGCATGAGAGGAAACCATAGCCCCATATTTGTCCTGGCAACACATCTACGCCTCTTTTGTCTCACTGACTTTGTGTTCTGTTCAAAGCTACCTTAATGACCTGGACAGGATATCCCACGGAGCCTATGTGCCCACCCAGCAGGACGTGTTGAGGACCCGGGTCAAAACCACCGGCATTGTGGAGACGCACTTCACGTTCAAGGACCTCCATTTCAAGTGAGACCACGCCCGCCCACCCCACCCCCGTTGTGTCTGAATGAACCGGATGTGGCCTGGTGCATATTCATAACTGTTGTGTTCTCTCCTCAGAATGTTTGATGTGGGCGGGCAGAGATCAGAAAGGAAGAAGTGGATCCATTGTTTTGAAGGGGTCACGGCCATTATCTTCTGCGTGGCGCTCAGTGACTATGACCTTGTGCTGGCCGAAGACGAGGAAATGGTAATGTTTACTAGTGGTGCTGGTCCCTCCTTTTTATTTGGCAAAATGTTGACATCTGCAACACACAAAGGGAATTGGTCAAATGTTTTGGAAAGGGCTGACCTCACTAGGAAATCAATTCGTAGACTCAAAGCCAGATTTGATGGATTATTGTAAATATTAGGCGGGCGCTGATTCAGATCTTCATTTGTGATCAGCTGAGGCAGATCACAACCGTTTATTTTTTTTGCCAAACAAGCCTTTAACTTTGCCAACAGATTACCTTTAGTAAGTGCTTAATGAATTCCGTTTGTATTGCACCTTCTTGGACAAAGTTGCGAGTGACCACGTCGCCATGGATACTCTCACAGAGTGGGCGACTTTTGGGACATGGCGACAGACGTGGATGGGACTGAAACACGTGAAGGCGATATGTTTTCAGCCGAGAACAGTACAAACGCATATAAAGCCTCTTCGCCTATCTGAATTTTAGAATATTGAGCTTGTATTGTGATAACTAATAAGAACAATCTCTACTAGTCAACCTTTGGGAGTTTAACCACCATGTATAAATTTGCTTCTTGTTGACCAAGTTGTTTTCAGATAAAGTGGTAAATGTAGAGCCAGGCAGACTTCTTAAAATGCTTCCCATGTCTCTTATGGTGCCCTAGTGCGTGCCCATGTCCCTGATGGTGCCCTAGTGCGTGCCCATGTCCCTGATGGTGCCCTAGTGTGTGCACATGTCCCTGATGGTGCCCTAGTGTGTGCACATGTCCCTGATGGTGCCCTAGTGTGTGCACATGTCCCTGATGGTGCCCTAGTGCGTGCCCATGTCCCTGATGGTGCCCTAGTGTGTGCACATGTCCCTGATGGTGCCCTAGTGTGTGCACATGTCCCTGATGGTGCCCTAGTTTGTGCCCATGTCCCTGATGGTGCTCTAGTGTCTCCACATGTCCCTGATGGTGCCCTAGTGTCTCCACATGTCCCTGATGGTGCTCTAGTATCTCCACATGTCCCTGATGGTGCCCTAGTGTCTCCACATGTCCCTGATGGTGCTCTAGTGTCTCCACATGTCCCTGATGGTGCTCTAGTGTCTCCACATGTCCCTGATGGTGCCCTAGTGTCTCCACATGTCCCTGATGGTGCTCTAGTGTCTCCACATGTCCCTGATGGTGCTCTAGTGTCTCCACATGTCCCTGATGGTGCTCTAGTGTCTCCACATGTCCCTGATGGTGCTCTAGTATCTCCACATGTCCCTGATGGTGCCCTAGTGTCTCCACATGTCCCTGGTGGTGCTCTAGTGTCTCCACATGTCCCTGATGGTGCCCTAGTGTCTCCACATGTCCCTGGTGGTGCTCTAGTGTCTCCACATGTCCCTGATGGTGCTCTAGTGTCTCCACATGTCCCTGATGGTGCTCTAGTGTCTCCACATGTCCCTGATGGTGCTCTAGTGTCTCCACATGTCCCTGATGGTGCCCTAGTGTCTCCACATGTCCCTGATGGTGCTCTAGTGTCTCCACATGTCCCTGATGGTGCTCTAGTGTCTCCACATGTCCCTGATGGTGCCCTAGTGTCTCCACATGTCCCTGATGGTGCCCTAGTGTCTCCACATGTCCCTGATGGTGCCCTAGTGTCTCCACATGTCCCTGATGGTTACGCTGCTGTGTCTTCTCCTCAGAACCGGATGCACGAGAGCATGAAGCTGTTTGACTCCATCTGTAACAACAAGTGGTTCACGGACACCTCCATCATCCTCTTCCTGAACAAGAAGGATCTGTTTGAGGAGAAGATCAAGAAGAGTCCTCTGACCATCTGTTACCCGGAGTACGCAGGTGAGCCTTTGACCCGGCGTCTGCGAGCGTTTGACCCGGCGTCTGCGTGCGTTTGACCCGTCGTGTTTGTGCTTTTGACCCGGAGTGTGTGCGCGTTTGACTGCCATGCGCACATGCGTTTGACCCGGCGTGTGCTTGCGTTTGACCCGGGTGTGTGTGTTTTCCTTTGAACCGGCATGTGCGTGCGTTTGACCCATGCAGATGCCGCACACTGAAGGACACAATCATTGCGTTCAAATAACTTGCAATTGTGGAAGTTTTTACCATATATAAATGAAATTCGTTTTCAACATTTTTCAACAGTTTTCACACAGTAGATTTGTTGTAGCTTGTAAAAGTTGTTCCCTGTTGGAAAGTAATATATACTTTATATCTATCTGAACCTCTCTCGGGACTTGCCCTCAGAGCGCCACAGACCCTTTGCTCGTCGGTCACGTGTGTGTCTTGCGTCCGCAGGAGGCAACACTTACGAGGAGGCGGCGGCTTACATCCAGTGTCAGTTTGAAGACTTGAACAAGAGGAAGGACACCAAGGAGATCTACACCCACTTCACCTGCGCCACAGACACCAAGAACGTGCAGTTCGTGTTCGACGCAGTCACCGACGTCATCATCAAGAACAACCTCAAGGACTGCGGCCTTTTCTAATGGTGCGCTCAGTATTTATGGGAGGTCCGTAAAGGCAGTTTTATTTCCCATTGAGAGAATGCTAAAGTTAATGATTTTGTTTTGGTAAGCACCTATGGGCCAGGTTAAGTGCAGTTCCTTTTAATGACAGTAGGGGGAACATGAGTGTGTAATGTGGAAGCTGACCTGGGTTTTTTGACCAATTGTTGTGGCAATTGTTATGTGTCTTGTCACTGTAAGCAGCCTGGGCTCTAGCTTTAGCTTGACGTGTGCTCTTGAAAAAATAAACAAATTGAACGTCCATACTTACTGGATAATGAAGAAATATGGTTTTAATGGAGGCACGGGTTTCATGTTTCCAAACAAACAGTTTAAATTCCACATCCAATGCTGTTTTCCACAAAATGCCAGTCAAAAAACTGATGGGCCTAAACCCAGGTCAGCTTCCACATTACACTGAGGCTCCCCCTACTGTCATTAAAAGGAACTGCACTTTACCTGGCCCCACCCAAACGCACACAGAATAAAGGTGCCTACCAGAACAAAATAATTAACTTAGATTTTGCGTTCACTTAATTGCAAATAAAACTGCGTTTACAAGGTCTGTGAGGAGTTTTCAAGTGCTAACCGTATCCCTCTTTTGTCTTGTGAAGCGTTTGTTTTAGCTCATCACGTAACGGCGTCTGACCGGAGGAGATCTTCTCGGACACTGCTGAGAATGTCACTTTTTAACCTCCCTAATTAACTTATGTACATCTCCTAAAAGTTTTAAAGACGGTGTGTAGAAGAAACGTTTTGTGTAAAATATTTGTACAAGTGTCTTGAGGCCGGCAATTTTTCCACACTTTTTAAAACGTGCTTATTTTAACTGTCCATTGTTTTAAAATTTTATATACAAATGGGTCCTTGTCTTTTTTTTCTTAGAGCAAACACCTTTTTTGTAGGCGCTTGTGCCTTGCATGCCTTAGTTGCAGTGTTTTCTTTTCTTTTTTCAATAGTTTCTTTTAAATTCATGAATTTCTTGACCATCTCTTTTCTTGTCTTCATAATAAGGAGTGTTGATCCAGTCACTTTGTTTATTCTAACATTCAGAGCGAGTGTGGGTGAATGTGAACTTCAGATTACGTCGGCTTGAGTTGAATGATGCGTGAATGAGTACACAAAACAAAAGGGACTATTTCAACCAGCTAGTCATCCTCTATTGAAGTTTTATTTTTCTATTTGACCAAAAACAAGCTGATCTCTCACAGATTGATTTGTGCACTCTGTGTGCTGGCCTCCAGATGACATTCCTGATCAGAACACTGCAGAATGACAGCGGTAAAGCGGATGCCAAAGGCGGCCTTGTAGCAGACGCTGAGTAGATGGTGCACACCTACATGCACTGTTGTATTGATTATTATGGTCTGTAATGGTCTCCTGTTGCATATCTTCACCACCACAACCTTTTGTTTCCATTGGATGGGGACGTTATCGGACTAATATCCATAATTTTGCTAATAAAAGTTGCTGTGGTAAAACCATGGCATCCTATAATGATATTTGTCTCGTCTTTTTTGTTCACAATTGACTCATTCTATTGTCACTGTAGAACGTTTTTACTAAAGAACTTTCTTGATCAACTTGCCACCATACTGTCAGATTAATCTATTTTTAATTCCAACACTTGTAATTGTGTAGAGGAGGCCGTGGAGCCAGGTGCTTGGCTTCAACACGAGTGAGTTGTGCAGATGGATCCTCTTCACTCGAGTGTCTTGGTGCATCCAGACACTTGGATAATGTGCTCAGTGACACGGCTTCACCATTTTGAAATACTTTACATTTATCCGCAGTTGAATTGCTCTATACAAATTGCTCTGCCTTGTTTTAATGGGGGTAAATGTGAGCTGACGGGAAATGCAGCTTGGTATATGGTTTCACCACAACTCCCTTGGGATTGAAACCATTGGCCGGAGTAGGGCCCTTCTAGAATCCAGATCATAAAACTAATTCATTTTAGAAACTTTCAAAATGCAACACAGTTGAACTTTTTGTTGTCCTCAAGTCTCATAACAGATCCATGCTTGGTGTTCCATGCCTCCCTCTTGTGGACAGACATGTGAACTGAAAGTGGATTTACAAAGAAAGATTGAACATTTGTCAAAGTTTTATTCCTCTTGTTGCGGTCTTCATGTTTTGTTATTGGCAGTACTTTTGAAAGTTTGCTGAAGAAATATTACTATATTTTGTATGGCTCCAAAATTTGGCTTTTCAAAACACTACTTGGTAAAGGGCAAAGTCTTTCAAATATCTTGTCTAATGGCACTTTTCTGTTTTTGCAAATGAACGATTCAATTATAAAAGGCACGTACAGTGGGACCAATATCAAATCAATCATTGAACGATGTGTTCTTCCAGAAAGCCATGTCTCCGTTGGACTCAACTCAAGATCATTTTCATGGTGTTTTGAATGAGAATCGTTGGTACTGAATATAAATGTATATCAGTGACAGAAATCTATCGGACTAATATCCACATAGGCAAAAATAAAAATGGAACTTTGTATTTGTATCAGTTTGTTATAAGTATTGCAATGGATATGTAAACTTCTGAATTGATTCCAAATATTCTGTGGCTCGTCCACAACCATCACGCTTCAGTTTGACCACAATGTTGCAAAGAGCACACCCACACATGTCAAAGAAGGGCTGAGCATTGGCCTAAAGCTCAGAATAAGACATTTAGTGAGGCATTAGAGCATAAGTTGGCGATAACGATCAAACAGCAGCCTGTAACATCTTCACAGAGTGGAGCGTTCTCGACTGGGAGAACATGTCCAAGTCAAGCAGAGCCAAAGCACTCGTCTCATCCGGCTCTGAACCACTTTGAAATGCAGCCTCCACTTTTATCAGACCATTAATAAATCATTACTCTGGAGTCATTTGGGGCGAAGGAAAGGAGCACATTCGAAAAAATAAGTTAATTTAGAAATGATATGGCTGGAAAGGTGTCTCAAAAGATGATCCCAAGACATGACACAGATGCATTGTTCTTCAAAATCATTGTGGTCAGGAACCGATTGATAAAAATGGGAACTGGTCGGGGGAAGAAAGAATAGAAGGGATTTTGTATTTTGACATTTTGACATTTTGTATTTTGACATTACATTTATTTGACATTAGTTTTGCTATTATTTTCTGGTTTGATTTTTCTGGAATTGAAATGTGTTTATTGTTTGGATTTAACTAAAACTGGACCTAATGTAAAGTCAAAACATTGTTTAACTTCTACTGATGTGTTGGGGTAAATATTTAGAAAAACATAACTCGGTACCCCACAACCAACAATGCTGCAAGTTAATAATGATAATTGAAAATCATATTGAAAACGGTCATATCCTGAGTTCATTTAGCATGTTCTACCCGTGTCTGCGTAAGGGTCCTCCAACGGATGGTGATAATCAGAGGCTTCCATGCGCCAGAGATTTTAACTTCTGGCTTCTGTCATCACTGTGTGGAGGGAATGGAGCTCCACAAACATTGTAAAGCTCTTTCTGTGACTTTGGTCTGTGAGATGTGCTATTATACCTTGTATTTCATTGATTTATTGAAGGGACAGTGCATATTAATACATTACTCATGAAAATATGCCTTAATTAGCCCAAGGGCTAATTCCATCTTTTTTTATATATCTATGAATATTAATTACTTATGATCAGAAGTGAAAAATAAAGTATGGAACAGTTGGGGAAAGTTGGGGACATTACCAATTCACCACATGCATACATTTTAGGAACTTAAGGATCCACTGCAATGAACACACCACACTATTTACTCCATAAGCCTCGATTGAATTGGAACCTTTTATTGACAATTTTATGGACTCTTGATGAGAATTACATTACATTACATTACAACTTACCTACAGTACTGGCTGGACACTAAGTCATTACTTTTTTCTACTTCTTTGAACTCTTGAATTCTACTTTTGCGATGTGGCCAATGTGTCTTTTTGTTTTGTCTTATATATTTATGTGAACAGCAGAGGGAGCCGGGATGAGGAAGTGTTTTACACAGGACTTGTTTTGTGTGATTAAGGCTGTTGTCAGAGCAGACTTTATGAACTTAATATTTTGACTCTTAACAGTTTTATATCTACCACATAACAACAAAATAAATCCTTATTCATCTTAACCCTTTGATGGTTTCCTCAGTCCTTTGGAAGATCACTTTTTGAGTAATTTATCTACCTCTTTGGGGCATGTTACTTGGTTTTAGGCATTTTTAGCATCAAACTACATCTCAACCATTTGGTAAATTCCGAATTAAAAAAATACGGGTTCAAAAAAACGAATTATTTATGTTGTTAGTGCTCCTATATCTTAGAAAATCCCCCCAAAAATAAAATACATTGCTTTCTTTGAGGCGTGAACATGAAAGGGTTAAGGACCAATCCACAACAAACCACCCATACCGTTTTTGTATGTTTCTATGATTGTTGATATTTGATATTTGCAGACACATTTAAGCTAGCATTTTTGGTTTTAGTATTTGGATGTACTATCTATCAAGTCATAAAGTTCTCACCAAGACAAATATGCAAATGTTCTATCACTTTTCAGCTACTGTCCCCAGGGAAACAACACGTTTTCAAAGTTATGCCTTCTGAGATCCCGTGAACGCATCAATCTATACATTACATCATTATGTGCTAGATCTGTCTTTAGTACTCCAACAACTCACTTTAATAGGGCCGCTTCAAGTCGAAAACCTAGTATTAACTATCACAATTCAATTATAAATGCAAAGCAAGCCTGGATCGGTTGCCAGCTCCCCACAGCAATTTCCTCTAATTAGCTTATTATTCAGCTGCATTATGAATTGCTCCTCTGTCGCCCATTTTCCAACTTTTCAATATTACATGGCTGTTTATTTCCCCGTCTCGACTCTTTGCCAAATCTGTCTTTTTTTGTGGGTGAAATGAAAACGTGCACCGTAGACATATACTCCATGTTTACAGTATATCTACGACTGACTTGTTTACTGTAACAACATGAGCTTGCATTTGCGGTGGTGCATAATTAGGAGGGGCTGGCGTGCTTATAGAGGCTGGTAAAATCCCTGCTAAATCTCTATTGAAATTCGACTTGGGAGAGCACAGCCTGTGTCGTGTTATTGCCTTCTTGCCTTCTGTCGTTGGCAGCCTGCGTTGGGTTGTACTTTTCTTTGCTATAATAATACCACCATAACAGAGAATTATGGCTATATCCTGTGTGTGTGTGTGTGTGTGTGTGTGTGTGTGCGTGTGTGTGTGTGTGTGCGCGCAAACAATGGCAGTCAATTATAGCTATAGCACACTAAGCATGTATAGGCTTTGTGTTATAAACGCATTCATAGGAGTCTGCCGTACATACAAAAAATATGGCAAAATGACAGGAGACAGGAGGTAATCTCATGTGCATTTTGTAGGACAGTAATAAAAGCATCTTAAATCAGCACTGTACTAATTTTAGACAACTTCTTTTGATGTCTTTTTTATCACCAGATCCAGATATAGACATCTGCTTTATCTGCTGACACTGTGTTATGTAAGTGAAACTCACCAAGCTTTTGTTGTTGTTATTGTTGGAGGAACTGAGACGAAATCGGTTCTTAGTTTGATTCTCTAAAAACAGTATTTTTTTCCATATCAGAATTATTATTCTTATGGTCATTGAAAGCAACAGCAGAACTAAGAATTTGCTTTTGGTATATAGTACACACAAGTTACACAAAAGGAATAAGCATAAAGACACGCACAAAACATCTCAGCCAAATTCCAATATACAAATACACACTATAGACTTTTAACAGTGTGAGAGAGAGAGAGATTACAGAGATTATTATGTTCCATGGATCCCAAGAAACATTAATGTTATATATCCTTCAACTAGTTCTTAGAAATGCAAAAAAAAAAAACTGAGGCAACACCGAGAAGCCACATTTGCGATGCATTGGTCACACCCATGGATTATTTACGGCTGGAAGATGCACCGTGGACTTACGCGCTTGTGTTTTTGTGTGGAGAATATACAGTTGTGTACTGAAACACACACACACACACGCAGAGAGTGGCGTGGAGGGCGAATGCCATCCACTGCGGCTTTTGACTTGAGTGATGAATTTTAAATGAAATGTTACTTTACTGGCTTCAAATAGAACTGCATATGAAAAAGTAATGGCAACTAAAGGATTTGTCATTCAGCAGCCGCTCTGGACTGGTTTTTATAATGGGAAAGCAATTATTATAAGAGGGTAGTGTGATAGCAGGGGCGACGCTAGATTTGATGCAAGGATCTCGGTGTCAGAGGAGCAAAGTTGGTTACATTTTATTGATTGAATTTTAGAAATAGATCGACTTCACTGACTTCCTGTTCAAACACTGCTGAACTGACAGGCATTTCATTGTAGTCATTCAGCAGCGGATTTTCAGTCATGTTTTTAATATTCTAAATGGCTTTGTTGTATTTTTAACATGACATTTTTTTTTTTTTATCTGATGTTAGAACTATTAGAATATTCATGCTCAGAGGGGGCAGGGATAGGTGGAAGGAGAAGCTCTGAAGCCTTGAATCAATCAATCACATTTCATTTACAAAGTGCTTTAACACACAGACACATGCACACACATACAGTATAGATGTTTCCTCCAGAGGAAACATTGAGAACACTAAAGCAATCAAATACAAAGTAAAGTATTGAAATTATAGTACAGGACCATAGCACAATACATGTCTGAATATAACATCCATCTTCTTCCCCTAAATGCATTTCTGGGTTGGGGGTTGGCAGTCAGAACTGCACCCAATTTACAGAGCACCAGCCCCTCACTGATCCTCCTGCAGGTGGAGAGTCCACAGGAGCTGAGATCTTTCAGCGGGGGCTTCAGGTAAATTGGGGTGAAGTGTCTTGCCCAAGGACACAACAACAGCAGACATCAGTGGGAATCGTGAAGTAGACCTTCAGGCCCAAAGGCCAATGCTCTACCAACTGAACCACTGTCGCCCCCTATAAATAAAATAAGTCAAACCCAGTAACATAAAGAATGAAATGACATAAAAGACATACTCTAAAACTACTGTAATAAGGTGTGTCTCAAGCCTGCTCTTAAATACATGAATGATCTCTGCAGCCCTGAGCTCCTCTCGTACGGTTTTACAGATGGGGGCCGTAGTGCTGGAAAGATGCCTCACCGTGAGTGTCCTGACTTTGGAAATGACTAAGTCTGCTGCCGTAGGAGCGCAGGGGACGGAGAGGTTTCTGAGGTAACAGCAGTCCAGAATGATAAAAGCAAGGTCATATGGGCAGTTTCTTTTAAAAGGATTATTTGAAAGGAAACACAGTTTTTTGAAACAAAAATGGCCTTTTATGAGATTTTTTTGTAAATGTCATGTAATTTTACTTACATCATATGTTGTCTATTTGTGCAGCATAAACTAACATTCTCAGCCTCATCAACACCTACCTAAAGTTTTTGAGTTATCCTTCATAATCTCTGAGAAATGGTGAATCAAATCAATTTCATGAGCCAGAGGTTACCATTGTGCTGTAGAGACAAGAAATAGAAGCGCTTGTCTCTCTTCAGTGCGGAGAGCTGAAGCTGAGACATCTATACGTTTCCCATTAATAATACATTTTGTTTTCTCCCAAAAGAGTCTTGTAAAAGTAACTCGATGAACAAATCAGACCACATCCTGTTGTCATTAGCTTATTAGAAAACATGTTATCTTTGCATACATAAGAAAGAGCCTAAGTCACCATTTGATGCTTTTGGTTGAGAGCTGATTAGCAGAGTGAGAATTGGTTTGAAAAAAACAATGTATTTATTGCTTCTATACTTTATAGGAGCAATGAATACATTTGTTTTTATTAAGCCTACATATCTGTCCCTGAAGTGAAATTTAAGAAGCCTTTACAGCTATGTATCAATACATATTTTATATGCTCTTATTACTGTCCTGTATGTGCACTGCAACACTGTGGGACAAATAAAGGCTCTCTAATCTTTGTGACAAGACAAGATAAGAAAGAGTATAAAAATACATTCATGTGAAAACTAGTGAACCAAACTGCTTTGAGATTGAGGAGCTATAGTAAGATGGATATTAGGTACCCCAGCTTTAAGAGCACAACATAATATTATGTCTTCTTTAAAAATCGTTGAGACATACATCAGCTATTCATGTTGCCTGAATTGACTTTTCCTGTCTTTCTTTTGTTCTTTTTAAACCCTGAATAACACAGACATGCAAAAAACGTAGTTCTGTTCTAGTTGTGGTAATTGCCAAAGAGCCTGCCCCCTGCCATAACAGCTGTATGCGGGTGTAACGTGTGTGAGTGTGACCACAGCGCCTGGAGACGCGCCCCTGGGCAGGCGGTGAGTGGAGCCAGTGAAGCACCTCCTCTCCATCCCTTTACGCCGAACCAGAACCATTCATCTCTCCCCTCCTTCAGGCTTCACATCCGGGTCATCCGCCAGTATCTCTCCCAGTGGTTTGCGAGAGCCAGAGCTTGAGAGCCAGACACAGACAGCACAGGGGGAAAATATCTCGCCTCGCAGCCGGAGCGGACACTGCGCCTGGCGTGCGTCGCTCGACATGGAACCGCTGGCGATGTGAGAGCGCGCGTACAAAGGGGAGGCAGCCTCGATAGTTGGAGGACTGCCGTGTCTTAACCATGTCGAAAAGCCTCAAGAAGAAAAACCACTGGACCAACAAAGTCCACGAAGCTGTGATAAGCCGCGGGAAGGAAGGCGACTTGGGCTTCGAGCTGAGGGGCGGCGCGGAGATCGGCCAGTTCCCCTACTTCGGAGAGGTGAAGACCGGGAAGGGGTTCATCCAAAGCGGCAAAGTGGCCCAGGATGAGCTGCTGCTGGAGGTCAACGACATGCCTGTGGCCGGACTCACCACCCGAGACGTGCTGGCCGTCATCAAGCACTGCAAAGACCCGGTCCGCTTCAAATGTGTCAAACAAGGTGAGCTTCGTGCTTGCTGTAGCCGAGAGAGGCAGCACTTAGGCGGGGGGAGCGAGCGTGTGTGAGTGCGTGTGGTGGAGGAGGATGATGGAGATGTCATGCGTGCGGTGTGGTGTGTTTTCTAATTGTTTTCCAGGTCTATCAGCGGTAATGAGAGGCTGCCCCTGTGTAATGAACATGTCTTGGAGGAGAGCGTTTGTTTACCGCGGCGTGGCTGGTCCGCTAGCCGTAGCATGAGGGGGTGTGTCGGGCGAGACATCACGCCACTAGTCGTTGTACAGTCCCGGTTCTGGTTCAGGACATACCAGCACTAAGCAGGCCGTGTTTATAACTGGACCCTTTCGAGACAGTGTGCATTTAGACATGATTATATTGTAGCTGTCATTGCGTAATCATAATGACACGGATATTTCACAGCAGCTGGATGTTGTTGTTGCTTTTATGACTAATTGGCTAATGAGGTTTTGGTGCTATGCTATGCTAATTACAGCAAACCATCTAGCTAACTGTAACAATCAGGCTGCAAAACACATCATTTTGAAAGCATTTCTGAAAGTATTCTATCTACAGGGATGGAACAACTGGATGTTTTAGTTGTTATCAACCCATAAATCTAATGTGACTAACAAACTCATGGAAATATGAAAGATTGAATTAAAGGTGTCCCTCTTGTTTCAGTGAAATCAAACATTCTGGGATGAATACGAGCACATGTTGAATTGTAAACTCACAAACACAACATAATAGAGACATACAGTATGATGAATAGAATGGAATAGGTATTTTACTTCCACTCTCTTCCACTCTTCAAATCCAGACTCAAAACCCATCTGTTCAGACTGTCCTACCCCACCTAACACACACGCACCCACCATCCCATAATGCGCTGTTGTTTTATTCTGTTGCTTCTGTTTTTAATGTTTTTTATTTTGCCATGTACAGTGTCCTTGGGTGTTTTGAGAAGCGCTTTTAAATAAAATGTATTATTATTATTATTATTATAAATGATCATTATCAGGTACGTTTGCCTCAGCTGTGAAACAATGTTAGACCTTAGTATGTAACTGGTAATCCTTATTTATGCAGGGTCTTTCACAGACAGAGTCACAAAGCGTTGTGGAGATTTCTCCTCTCGCTCCACACAGTGATGGAAGCATGGTCGCTGCACAAGAGATGCATGCCGGACTTATTGTACATGATTTTAGTAGCACCCGGAGAAAACCTATAGGGAGAATATGCAAAATCCACACAGAAAGTCCCGGTCTGGGAGGTGGAATCAAACCCAGAACCTTCTTGCGGTGAAACACAAGCGCTAACCAATGTGCCTCCTAAAACTCCAAAGTTAGTCTTTCTGCAGTCTGTTTGAGCCAACCCCCAGACACCAACTAGACCCTCATTTGTATTATCCAAAAAAACAAGTTTTCTTTGAGTAGAGATTGTCCCCACTTATAATTTATAGTATATGAGTAATCAAGAGGCCAAAACTACAGGACCCCAGCTTCACAAACAGTCCTTTATACTCAAAAGGGTTCTCAAACAGATCTGAGGCATTTTGGGTAAAGTAGGTCAGGATTCATGAAGTACTTTTGCGTGTTTCTTCATTTCCCCCCATTTGAACTGTCATGCTTCTATGGGCATTATAAACATGGAAGATGATGTAGACAAGAGGTTGTTGAAGCAAATGTAGTCTTTCGAATAAACGTACAAGAATGTTACCGCTCTGCACCTACAATCTTTTCTTATTTCAGCAATATTTTACTTTTGGCACAAATTTGACATACCAAAACATCGTCTGAATGGTTCACAGTCAATCAAAAGTACGTGTTAATTTTCAACCATATCCACGTTGTTTAATTAGTATATTTTATTCACAAACATTTACAAAGAGCTGCCGATAGATAGATGAAAATACATTCCCATATTTACTCTTACTAATGTACAGTAGTGTATTAGCAATATTACCCCAAACACAAATGTATATCTTTAAAGGTCTAACTTATAATCATGCATAACAAGTTAAACACTGCCTAAATCACATTTTGGCTTCAAATGTGTTTTTATAATATATACATTCTCACTACCTCCAAAAGCAACTATTTCTAATAAGATTAACGTCAAAAGAGTTTTTGCTGTGCGTAGCTTCTTAACATCAGCAGTTACTATAAATCAGACAGAAGAGGCTAAAGTGAGAGTTGGCTTCACATATTGCCAAGTCATTTGTTCATAAGTTCTTGTAAGAAAGAGCCATGTGAGTCTGACTCTTTGGGCTGAGAGCTGATTCACAAAGAGTGGTCCTCTCTTCTTCACTTTTCTGACTGAAAAAGCTGATGTGAAGATGTGACAGAGGCCAAAAATACAGGCATGTGGAAGTTATAGAAACTGTTTTGAGAGCCAGGAACTAGTTACATGGATTTTATTGTTGCGTTTTCGGTGGTGCAAAAAGTAGGTATCCCAACTTTAATTTGCAAGGTCTACTGTGTGAAAAATGTGTCTTTAATGGTAAGAATAACTGACCGATACATTCATTATTATACATAAAAAGTATCAATTTATCAAAAAGTACCCTGAAACTGAAAAGTATACTTTACTTGTCAGATTCAGGGTACTTTTTGCAATGAATTCAAAATGTGTTTGACCTGTTTTCAATGGCCTGCTTTGACTGATATTCACTACTACTGGAAGTGTGTGCGAGTGTTATCCTACCCCTTTTTAATCTTTATTTACATCATGCATTTGTTCCCATGTAAGTTTTCAATGGTATCACAACGCACAGCCTCTGCTCTGTAATGTTACCAAATGGACCACAAACATTGAAATCTCAGAGCTCCTGTCCAAATATCTTCCCTCTTGTGACAGTGTTTGTGCTGGAGACTTTTCCTGTGGTATGCTCAAGTCCCTAACCACTATAACAGTCCATTCGTGAGTTAACTCAGTGACCTGCTTCTGTCAGACACTATATAAGCAGAACGAGTCTATATACGACAAGAAGATTCAATGGAGGGAGCAGCACTGCAGATAGTCGTCATGAGCCTCTCCCAGGCCCTAGCTGAAGTTCTAATAACCCTCCACTGCAATGAGTTTCCAAGCGTGAAATGAGCATTATATTGGCTCGTGACGCTAAATGCTGTTAACACTTCGACAGTCTTTAAACTTTTTTGTTCTGTGCACTAGTGTCCTTCAAAGGCTATTCTTTAAGTTGTATGTTTTTTGATTGAAGCATTTCTCTTGTAAGAAAAACAACTTAGGAACCATGCAATCAGTCATTTATTTTGAATTGTATACTTTAGATGAGTTTTGTGATCACAGTTATAGTATAGTGTCAACAACAGTGATGTAATAATAATAATAAACAGAATTGGATTGTCGCTGTCCTTAGACAATTCTGCATCGGCAAGCAACGGCTCAAAACAAAAAACAGGGAAAACATTTTTGAGAAACCTCAGGAAGGCCAATATTGTGATAGGGATCCACTCCCCTGGACAGAAAGGCTCTAGATCCAGGACTCAGGCTGTAGAACAAGGGCTGAGGTTTTGTGGTGCAGGGCTGAAGAGGCTCCCAGGCGGGGAGGGGGTGCAGCCCACGAGCTGGGGGGGACCGTTTCACTGCTGACGGTAAAAGAGGCCGGGTTTACGTGCTTAGATCATTCTCTTCTCTTTCTTTGGACCACATCATGAGGGACCAAAGGCACACAATAGGCACCTCGCTTCTGTCGGCGCCACCACTGCGAATGCAGTGAATGAATAATGTGAAGTGGCTTTGCATGAAAAGTTGTGCAGTACTATTATAGGTGCACTACATAGCTTTTTGATGGGGGCTACCTGCCTGTTGTTACTGAGATGTTATATCTTTGCTTGGAATGTATTTCAGAATGATATGAAATGTGGTATTTCTAATAGAAATTAACAAATATGAAGCCAAACTAGATAATTCCAGAAATATTAGCAACATTTGTTTCAGGCTTGTCAAAAGTCATGGCACCATTGACAATATAAACACAAGTTCATCGTGTCATCCAGCCAACTCCAGCTCATCTAATATAGACCTGCTGTACCTTGTTGTAAAAGCTAAAGCAACGCTGTTCGACTATTACTGAAATGTGTTGGTGATTATGAGCTGGTTCCTTTCCCCTCCCAAAAACTAGATTCACAATGCACATGGATTGTTTATTTTATTTGAATAGATATATATGTAGTGCTTTTATTTAAATTGCGTAAACAACAGGGAATTAAATCATAATTATGAATTGAAAATTAAATAAATTTCATTTTTTAAAATATTAATTAATTTGACCTATAAACTTGATTTTATAATAAAATTGATTTTTTGCCCAGCAGTGCAGTTAAGTTAGATATTTGGTGGTATCTTAGTGACATAGTGTATAGTTTTGAAAGCTTTCGCCAGTACCACACCTTGGCCCCGTATAGACGACAAATCGATGCAGAGCTTAGGTATGCATTGAGTCAACCATGAATTTATTTAGTTGACCACTGCCAGAATGCTGAGGCCGCATCCCAAATCATCCGAAAATGCCTCCTTCCGCATCCTTCTTTGTCCTTGTATAAGACATGGCCGGGGTTGTGTCAAGTAAAATTCAAGAAATGTATTTATTTGAACCTATGACTATTGCCTTCATTCACGGAGGAAACTTAAGATTACCTTAGCAACTGTCTTAGCACTAACTTATGATTACTGAGGTAGAGGAGTGAGTCATTAGGAGCCACAGCGAGTTGGACCAAAATCTTCTTCCATGAGCACTTCCTAATTGAGCTTCATCAAGCTATCAGGTTAGCATTGTCCATCAATATACAGTCCTTGTCTATATTATGCATAATATAATATATTGTCAAGTTTCACCTGTGTTTGTGAATGAAAACCAACAATTTGATTAGGAGAGTTTATAATAAATAAGTAATGTAATGTGTTGATTTCCTATATTAAAGTGATTGTTTGGAGTTTGTCAGAAAAAAGAGAGAGAGGTACATGATTTGAAAAAAACGACC